GGACCCATTTAAGGCGCTTCGGTGCAAGGCCAACCGCAACATGCCCGTAGAGGGCTACTCCGAAGACGCCCTGCTTGTTTGCAGTGGCCAGCGCCTTTTGCGGCGGCGCAAGCTGCCCCAAGCGGTGTTGCCTCTTAGAACCTTTGGCAAATCTAGCCTTGTGGGTGGTGACACGTCTGCGCCTACCCCCCGCACTATCTATGCCAAGGTCCTTTGCCAAGGACCTGACCTGTGGGTCATCTGCTTTGAGGAGCTTTTTCAGCTCCTTTTCAGCCCTGGGATTAGAGCACACCCAGGCACTTTTGCCTGCGCTGAGCGGGAGCTTCGCTCGTTCTAACTGCTTTTTGACCCTGGTCCACACCAGGTGCGCTTGTTTTGCACAAGCCTTGGCATCTCGGTTGACAATGTCGAAACCAGTGTCGTCTATGTACAGGTCGACATGGCATTTTGGTGGGCCCTGCCAAATGGGTTCCACCACATCGTGCATTATCAACTTCGAGAGTCCTGGGGCCAGCGGGCATCCAGCAATGATTCCTTTTGTGGCCACTATTGGTGCACTGATCATGTTTTCAGCACACAAGTGTCTCTTGCCTCTGTAAACTTGCATGGCCCCATGCAAGAGGAGAGGCGGGTACTTGTGTTTGAAGGCAGCTTTGACCAGTTCCGTGTGTGATACGTTCTCATAGAAGCCACGCAGGTCGAGCAGAAGCGTGATGCCCGTTTTCCCATTTTGCCGGTACATCTCTCCTTTGAGGACTCGGGTCACTGCAACCTCAAGGGATGAGAGACCTTTGACTGCTCGGAGGATAACTGTTTTCTCGTCTTTGGCGAAGCGAGTCGCAGCCAGCTTTTAGCCGGCAAGTTTGGGTGAAACGTACTGTACTGGAGGATAACTGTTTTCTCGTCTTTGGCGAAGCGAGTCACAGCCTAGCCATTGGCCGGCAAGTTTGGGTGAAACGTAAGAAGCTGTACTTACGGACGAGTAGTAGCACTGTACAAGTCGACTCGCGTTCTCGCTCTTACTGACGAGTCTACCAAGGGCTTTCCACTTGGTACTAACCTCTATGCCACTCATCTTTGTACAGCTTTCAGGTGCCTGCAGTCCTTTGTCTGCTCCCCTTTCTGGTAGCACCAGACTGTGCGGTAGCCTGGTCTCACCAGAGGGAGTTTTAAAAACTGGTAACACCAGGGACCCTGTATGTCCTGGTAGCACCAAAGCATGCAGCCTTTGCCCCGTGCTGGTTACCTCTACATAACCGTCAGGCACCCGTTGCTTACCCCGTCTGAATTGCCACCAGCGGGGTGTCAAAACTACGTCCTTTTAGCCAGTCACACAGACCTCTCGTGGTAGGTACCTTTACATGTGGATACTGGCCTCGCTTGCACTGTTCTTGCCTAACAGCAAGCGGAAAACGGCAAAACACTGAAGCCAGAGGAGACAACTACTTGGGGCAGAAAGGCCGACACACCCCCGGCTCACTCCCAACTTCTTACCTCTACTCGGGTCCGGGTTCTTACGTTTTCCCTTCGTGCAGGAGTCGTCTTGGACTCTCTGCGACCCAGTGAGGAGAGCGATGAGCCCGAAACTTAAGTGATCCAGCCTTCCGCGGCAAGCTCCCTAACAACAACATTGCACATGCGCCAGAACATGCTGCAATTCTCCCAGGCTTGAGTACCCCAAGGCACTCTTTTGACCACAAGGGCGAGAACACACCTTGCGCCGGGACTTCACATGAGGCCAAAAGACTTGACCCAAGAGAGAGTCTGAGGCCGGGCTAAGCCTTCAGACTCCTCACGGCAGATACCTGTGCAGGACTAGACACAGGTGGGTTTCCTCCCTTCTCTCTATCCTTGGTACTGGCAAACAACACCAAGGCGCCCAAACCAACTATACTAAGAGGGGGAACCGAACCAACTAAAACACACCTGCCAACTCACAGCCCGGAAGGAGGGCAGGGGATGAGTGTAGCCAAACTCATCTGTCACCAGGTAAACACCTGGTAGTAGTCTTTGCTTGTTGTGGCAACTATGTCGTGAGCAGGCAGTTAACTAGAGCGGGGCTTGGGCCTGCCCGGCCTCCAGTTTGTGCCTGTCCGCGCAACTGCCCAAGGCTAAGTGACAGTCAGGTGGTCCCGGCGTTCTCGCTCTTACTAACAGGGACCAAGTACCCATGCCGGTGCCAGCGCTAGGCCCTCCGTTACCTAACCTCACAAAGCCTTCATCAGGCGGAGACACAGTTTTTCCACTCTCGGCTCTGGCAAACATTCCTAAGCTTCCTAAACCCTCAAACCTCAGAGGCTGCAGTGAAGTGGGGCCGGCAATGCTTGCTACTGAACAGGCCATGCTGACACTGGTGCCCACCAGGTCTGTGAACAAAGCCTGCATGAAAACAAGAAGGTCTAGCAACAGGACTGGTCTACAGCCTCACAAAAGGCGGCACCTCAGGAAAGGACGTGGCCACCAGTCAACTCTCGACACCAAAGACTACTGCCACTCTAGCGCCGTGGCGAAGCAGTCTTGGTTCAAAACTGTTGCTCAGGGGAAAACAGCACTGCTAAGGCTACAAAACTAGTGCGAAAATCCTTAGCCTTCTTTGGGACACCAAGCCGGCGCTTGGTAGCTACCAGCACCGCCCATCACCAGGCTAAGCCTGGGGCGGTTACACCAAGGTGTCCTTGGTTGGCCTAAAAGGCAGCAGCCATGGCGGCAACTCCAAAACTGGCTAGAAACGGGCCTGGAACCCCACACACAGTTAGGCCTCGTTCCCAGTTCCGACAGCTACCACTCGCTACCTGGCCACTTGAGCCGAGACTTGAGCCGGAGGATAACTGTTTACACCCCCTCTGGGCGTTCGGGTCATCCATCCTTCTTTACAGCAGCTTGAAGCTTGGACGGTTCCCGAGCGCAGAAATTGCAGATCCTGCGTGTCAGCGGAGTCGTGTGGCGAATGCTTGGACAGTCACGTTTCACGTGATAGCAGACGCCTCTCGCAGTAAGGTAAAGTACTGGCTATTGGCTATTGCTGACTCCATAGAGCCATAGATAGACAGGAGCTTCGATGATCGTGTCGCAGCTATGCATCTTAGTAAACGTCAAAGACTCGATTGCCTTAAAAAGATCCTCGAGATACCTCGATGACATTGCTGAAGCCAGAGTTTGCACAGAGAGATTCTCGAAAACCAGAGTTCGCATCGTATGGTTCGAGATTAAGTTTTCTGAACCTTGAGAAGGGTAGAAATGGTTCGGATGGGAATGTTTACGACAAGTGCGATCGATGGAACATTGACAGTCATTGCTGATTGCATTATTTCGCAGTCTGCAGCGCAATTGCTTTGGTTTGGAAGTTTGCAATTTACAAGAAGTTGGAAGGCGCACCTAACGATTTTACGCTGAATTTCCATACTATTTTGTTTTTGACCCCTAAATCGGTTTCGTGTGGCACAAGTCTTCCATGGCCTACTGTTTCTGGCAAGTAGTGGGCACGAAACCAACTCGAAAAAAAATTCTGTGGATATACATCGCCAAGACAAAGTTCCTGCGTGCAGTCTTCAGCTGAACTCGCCATCGAGACAGAGAACAGCCTTGCTTCATATCACAGGCACAGCCGACGTGCACGATGGACAACGTCCATGATTTTGCGGACGAACTTCGACTACTTAAACAGCTCCATACCATCCGAAAATCGCCACACCAAGTGGAACCCGTCCCCGACTTCTTATCTGCAAGCTGCAGTGACGACCGACTCGTCCTTGTTTCTATGGAGTTGCAGACCAATAGTATGTTGATTTCGACGCGCCAGAGAGATACTGCATTTTTAAAGATGTCTCTCCTTTTCCAAGAGTTGGCAGGGAGTGTGCAAACTTGGCAAGTCAATGGCAGGAAGAAACATCGACATGCTTGTTTGTCCTTCAGCGACATGATCTTGCGTGGTATCCTCTGTCCTTGCGCCATCTCTGACTGAGCGAGGCAAGTGAGCGCCGTGGACCCAATTATTGCATTTTAATCAAGGCTGAACGCTTTTTGCAAAGTTTGTGCAGCTATTATGTTTGACTTTGCGTTTCCCCTGTCAACGAGCCCATTCACGCCAAAACGGACGGCAAGCACTTTGCCGCTTTTGCATCTTGCCACTTCTGACGGAAAGCTTGGACTGAGTGAAGTCCTCAAAATGGCCGCTCTTGTCCGATGCTCACGCCAAAAAAGTGGATCTTGCAGACAAATGACCCGAGTATCGGTTCTGTGCTCACGTCGGATTGCGGATCAGGACCTGGCAGCCCTGGAAGTGACAGAGACGAGCGCACCCCCATTCGAGTCGAAGATAAACGTCTGCTTCTGCTGCTGAAGAGGTTGAAGCAAAGCTGTTGATTTTGGGTGGCCTTTCGACGATTCGTTCGTTGTGCCTTCTTTTTTTCTTCGCTTTTGAACCTCCTAAAACGATTTCTTGTAGGCTCTCTTTATTTCGTGTTCGTGGAGAATGTCTGTTTCGCACAAACTGTGGCATTTGCAAGATCTTCTTTTTTTGTAGCAAATTCGAATCAAGTGGGTGAGATTTTCGCTTTGCAGCATGCCTTGGCAAGTGGACATTGTTCGTATGTGGTTGCTGTTCTTGCTGAGATCACTATTGCTCTAGAGCCGTGCAAGTGCGGAAGCTATGATGACATGGGACGTGTGCGTCATGCTGAATGACGAGACAATGAGAATATTAGCGCCAGCTTGTTCCATCGTCCACCAAAGCATGCAATGACAAAGTTTCATTATAGACACTGTGTGCAACGAGTTCGTTTGCCTGCAGGCGATGTAAGATGATGTTAAGCGGCTGGTCAAGTTGTATCCGATTAGATAAGCTCTGTTGACATGTCTGCTGCCGGTCTAATAAGACATGCAGAGCAGACAAACTGTGAAGCATATTTGCTGCCAATACAAAGACCTGAAGTGTTTCGTGTGAGCTTCTGGTATGACGTAGGCCGTAGGTTTTGAATGTTAGTGCTACAATCTGCGGGCCCATGGCTGCGGAGCATGTCTACCAGCCAGTTGGTGATCCACCCCGTGGCTATCCAACCGGTGGAACTGATGTTTTCCAGCCTGGCGGCGAGCCAACTCGGATCTACCACAGCAGAGGAGCTGTTGCTGCTTCTGTTGTTTCAGGGGTGAAACATCATGCGGGTTAGATTGTTGTGCGATTGACTTGACTCGATATACGATACATGCTTTCATAAGAAGAGCGAATGCACATCGTCCTGCTGTCAAGTTTGGCACAGCATACGTGCAATGCTGTGCTCTTGACAGCTTCTTGGAAGCTGAAGGGAAGAGAAGCCCGCTTCCGAAACGACTGCAACCGACCGTGCTACACCACATGACCCTAAAACCCTCGAGCCTGGAGGCTCTCACCACCAAGATCTCTAAACCCAAACGCCGTTCAGTGAAGTTCCGAGGAGGCCTCGCTGAGCGCTGCGACTGCACCGATGCCTTGCGGAACTTGGGCCCGGCGATGGGCATCCTGGCCTCGGCAGCAGAACCTTGGCCTTAAAGAAGCCCGTAATATCTAGGTAGCAATGCATGCAGGCATGTATTTATGTATGCATATATTTACATATATGTATATATTTATGTATGCATATATATATATATGTATGTATGTATATGCAGCATGTGAATTTCAGTCTTTGAAGGTTGTGAGTGGTTGAGAGGCCTTGGCATCAGGCCTGAGGGCGTCTGGTTCTTGTTGTCAAATACGAAGACGGTTGGCGGTCTTAGATTTCAATTTGGGACTCCTTGTGTTGTGCGTCGCATCGTTTGCATATCTTGAGCCAACACCTGTAGATACTAATTTTCGTCTTGCACACTGGAGGCAGGATTTCGGAATCAACTCGAAACCACTAAACCGCCCTTGCCACCAACCCAGAACCTTACATCCCAAATGAAGCCTCGCCACCCCAAGCTCAAGAGGCATTGACGATCATCGTCCCGGCGTTGCTTTCTTTAGCGCGTCCGGTGACCCTTGTCCACGAGGCCAGTGCGTCGTTCGTTCGTTCGTGTGGGTGTGTGTGTGCATCTGTGCAAGTGGCTCACGCATCTCCAGATACATTAATTAACGCTGACATACAGGTACAAGGCATAAACTTAAAATCAGCGCAAGTGCAAATTCATGCGTCTCCTGTACCCGGCCTGTGCTTGATCATCGCGGTGTTACCGCCTGGCCAACAGTATCAGGAACGGGTGGTCCAGTGTTGCCATGCTAATGGACGTCGTCCTTTCCGGCGTCCCGGATGCTGTTTTCATTCGATGTCTCTCAGCATGACTCTCATCACGCCCACACTCACAGAGATAGAATGGAGACGGGTCGGGTCGGTTAAGGTTGTTATGGATCGTAGTATCACTGCACAAGCAGCCACACAGCAAGGGAGGCTTGAGCAAGCCAAACCCAAAGGCACCCGCACAAGCACACGCAGACGCACGCAAACACACGCACACACAGAGACAGGAAGAAGTGGGCAATTAACCCCAAACTCCGTCATGTTTGCACAGACAGACAACAGTCCCGAATCAACCAGACCCGGAGTCCCTAAGCCCAAACCCCAACACGAACCAACCCTGGTTTCCTTCGAGAGGCAGATAGGTAAACAGATAGGTGGATAGATGGCTAGACGGACAGACAGACATCGACTGCTGTCAGTAGACGCACAGAGGGAGAAAGATGCAAATAAAAAGATAAATAGATATAACACTATGTATATATACATACAAACTTAACACACACACACACGCGTAGATAAAGCATGCGGAAGACGTGGCAGTTCAGAAGTGCCTGAGGTTTTCTAGCCATCGTCTCGAGACCTAAACTGCGATTCTCGCCGGTCAGGCCCATACCACCACGGTGAGGGCAACAACTACCACAAGCTCCGGGCTTACCTTCTTTGTACTGTGGTTACTGCTTGTTTACACAGCGAGTGCGAAGCTTCATGCGCTGCTCACGGTGTGCCACTTGGCAAGAGACTTTTCTGGACAATTGAGCAGATTGCACGTCGAAGTCGGATCTGTGCATCCCAGTGCAGGAGCGGTCGCTTGTTGTACCCTAGTAGAACCGAGGTGTAACAACCTTGCCTACCACGACGTTCAGCATGGGCCCTTGATCGTTTCGGGGCTTGCGGAGCTGCAATTTTAAGTCTGGCTGAGTTCAGATGTTCAGGGTTGAAGGAGCTACAGGTTGTAGCCCAAGCCTATCAGGTTTTCCCAAACGGTCACGGGATGGCAGTTCCTTCCGTCAAGCTTTCCTCACTTAAACTGGCTCTTGAAGCAACGTAAAGCTGGTATTTGGGCTTTCGGTGGAGGGCTTTGGTGAGCTTAGTTTGTAGGCATGAGGCCTTCCAGGCGAAGAGTGGATTGGTCATGTGCTCCAACTCGTCAACATGGAGCTGACTGTCGTGTCTGATGCCCATTGATGGCATGCCCTAATTTACCGCGGATGGGCTGCAAAAGCTTTCCCGCTTGTCTCAACCCTGTTGCCGCAGGTCGTGCCGTACTGCACAATTCTACTACAACGACCTCGTCCCAGCACTCGCTCGATGTGGTGGGCCTGACATCGGATTGTCAATGTGACATGGCACGTTCCTGCATCACGTTTGTGCTGGAGACCAAACGGCTCAGAAAGTGTCAGCTCAAGATCTGCTGCTTTTCCTTCCACCAGATCCTGAACCCTGCCCAAACTGAAAAGCTTCACGGCGCCAAAGCCGACACTGCAACCCTCCTTGTCTGTGCAGCCTCGCTGGAGCCATGGGCAGAGGCGAGCCACCGACAGATGCCCCAGGCTCTTCAGGTTCCACCGCGTCCAGCGCGTCGTCGGAGGTGGAGCTGCAGAGGTCCGCCGTGACTGCATCCGAGTAAGTCGGCCTTGCACTTGGTCTCAGTTGAAGAGTTCTACGTCACAGGGACCATATGCTTGGTGAATGTCTGTGTCCAGACTTGTCCTGTCTTTGCCGAAACAGCTGATCCAGCAGCTGCATCAATGGCCAGGAGTATGAAACCAGCTACTGATAGATGATAAGGTGCTTGTTCAACAAAGGTTGTATGACGCAACAGGCATGGCAAACACCCTCGATTTAGTTCAAGGGCATTCCCCAGCTGGAAAGCGCTGTCGAAGCCCTCAGGTTCTGTCAGTTCGTGCAGAGTGATCCAGATGCGTTCGAGCTCGCCATCAAAATTTTCAGGCCTCCTGGCCGGGACCCTTCATAGCTGGGGACCTGTGAGGCCTGAAACCCAAAGTCTCTTTGTCGCGCGCTGAGTCTTTGAATCCTTCTGTGAGGATGCGAATGGACATGGCTCAGACTCAGAAAGACCGAAAGTCACCACAAGTTGCTCCTCACGAAGAGCAGACAGCCCCTGGGACGGACGGTAGATGCCGGTAGATGTTGAGTTTGCTTTTGAGGCTTCGCAGCAAAAGTTATGCGATCCGGGGCTGGGGTTTGGGGTTCTGTTCAGGATCGAGGCTTCCTGGCTGAGTTTCTTGTTTTGCACAAGGTCGAGGAGTGCCTTTTACAAACTGTCTGTGGGATGCTTGCAAGAGGTGATGGCAAAAGCGAGCCCGAAGACGAGGGCGAAAGTTGGCAATACAAGAGTGAACCGCGTTAAGCTGCCACGCTGCTCTGTGCAGCGCTGCCAGACATTTACCATCCAGCTGTGACATATTCGCGATTCCGTGCCTCCATGATGTCGTGATGACATGCCTACATGCCTGTGCCACTTACTGTCGAGTGGAGCACAAGACCTGTTGTCAGAGGCCTGTCTGTGGACGGTGTGGTGCGTCTTGTCTCAGTCATGGCATGTGTTCCCAGCCCTAGCACCGCCAAGAACATGGCAAGCCTCTGCGTTTGTGTAGTCGATTCGAATTGAACAGCCTTGGCATACATGAGCAGGGCGATTGCATTCAGATCTTGTAAGGATTTGAGTCTAGCCATTTTACTATTGTGTAAATCCATCGTCTGGTTTCAGAGCTTTACCAGATCCGAGTGCAATTTTCTTCCAGGCTGTAACGTGAGACGCACCCCGAGCACTTCGGGTGTGGTCGCCTCTCGATGTCCTTCTTCTTTTCGAATGTGACAGAATGCACTCTGTCGTTGGTTGCGTAATCGGGGGCGATTTGTTTGCTCCGAGTCCATGGCGTTTTTCATTCCTGTGTCATCAGTCATCTGAGCAGCTCTCCAATCCCCCAAGCTGCCTCGCCTGCCGATTTGGGCAGAGAGTGCGAAGTCCACGGTTTTGAACTGTGGAATGTTTTGAGTTTTCTGGGCAGAGTGGGCTCGGCAGGCATCGGCATAAGCCAAGGAAACTGCACGTTTTCAGATGCGCAGAATCCACGCTCAGTTTTCGGTAATGGTCCCGTGGTGATGATCGGCGATGAGAGCCTCCGACTGACGTCAGCCGACGGACTTCTTCTCTAGAGAAAGCGCTGATGGACAGGAGTCTCTCAGACCGTCTGCAATCATCCACGTCGAAGTTGCCCTCATTCATACTTGGGTGATCCAGGCCCGTCTCACTGGATCGTTGAACGGCAACGGGGAACCCGGCAGCTCTTTTATTGTGAATTAATATTCATGCCATTAAGCTGCAATCTGCATGGACTTGCATGTGGATGCAAGGACTCCAGAAAGATGCTTCGGGACTCTGTCTGTCTTTAGGGGGTCTCCTTCGATCGTCAGGTACCCAAGCTTGGCATTCAGATGGTCCTTCTTGTAAAATCAGCTTGCTTCAGCTTGCAGTGCACAATGCCAGGAGCTTGCTATGACCCTCTCCGGTCTCGCTTGTGTCTCAGATCACTCTGTCATACTGGCAGTACATGCTCTAGTAAGCTCGGAATAAGAGGTAGAGCGATTTGTAGCAGCATCTTCTGTATCACACCGTTGTTCCTGCCAAGACCACGCCACTGCAACTGGCACTAAGCACTGGGACAACCCTACTACTCCTACCTGCTACTCCTACAACTCCCACAACTCCTATTACTCCTACCACTCCTACTACTACTACTCCTACTAGCTCCTACTGTTCCTACTGCTCCTACTGCTCCTACTGCTCCTACTGCTCCTACTGCTCCTACTACTCTTCCTACTCCTACTCCGACCCCTACCTCTACCCCTAGTCCTACTCCTACTCCTACTCCTGCTCCTGCTCCTAGTCCGACTCCGACTCCGACTCCTACTCCTCCTACTCCTCCTACTCCTCCTACTCCTACTCCTCCTACTCCTCCTACTCCTCCTACTCCTCCTACTCCTCCTACTCCTCCTACTACTCCTACTACTCCTACTACTCCTACTACTCCTACTACTACTCCTACTACTACTCCTACTACTACTCCTACTGCTAGTCCTACTACTACTCCTACTCCTACTCCTACTCCTACTCCTACTCCTACTCCTACTCCTACTCCTACTCCTACTCCTACTCCTACTCCTACTCCTACTCCTACTCCTACTACTACTACTACTACTACTACTACTACTACTACTACTACTACTACTACTACTACTACTACTACTACTACTACTACTACTACTACTACTACTACTACTACTACTACTACTACTACTACTACTACTACTACTACTACTACTACTACTACTACTACTACTACTACTACTACTACTACTACTACTACTACTACTACTACTACTACTACTACTACTACTACTACTACTTGTTCAACGACTACGACTGCCACTACTACTGGCACCTCCGCTACTAGTACTCAGTGCTGCTATGTCGCTAGCTGTTGCTATTTTTGCTGTTGCCACCGCTATTAGTCCCATTGCTAGCTCTACTACTTTCATGATTTCTAATCGCATGTTGCTCTTGCTATGCGCTGTGGCGGTTTTGGCTTTGACGCAAGTATCGCGAAGAAGCAAAGCAATTAATCTCAAATTGCGTATCATATAGAAAAGAAGACGATGATGACGATGCTGACGATGATGATGATGTTGATGGCGAAACGTGACAGCTCTTATTTGCAAATGCTGTTGTGTTTCTATTAATACCTCCGGCCATCGTGAGGAACGAGAAGAAGATGACGTCTTTGACTGTACACCCGTGCTGCTTGCTGTTCTAGTGTTCCTATTCCTGACTTTTCTTCGCTGTCTCTGTCTGTCTCTCTCTCGCCTGCTCGCCCTCTCGCTCGCTCTGGCGAGATCTGACACCCAAGGACGGCGAAGCGCTCGGCGTGAATCCTGCTGTGCAGCTCCTTGGATCTACATGACAAGGGGGGGCCGTTCAGGGAAAAGTGGAGATGGAGTGCGTGGTGAGAGAAGAGACAACCTGTTCGGGGAAGGCGTAGCTCATGCACCCGGTGTCACTGGTTCGGCATACAGCTTCGACAGGTGAATCGAACATGGCAATCACATGCCTGAGCTTGGGCGCATCTCTTGTGCAGGCGCGCCTTTGACTCCACCGTGCAGTCCGCTATGGCAGAGTTGGCCGAGGCATGTCCGAAAGCCGCAGCCACCAGAACGACGACGGTTGCAACAATGAAGATACACTCTCTGCAACACTTCCAGTCACAAGGCCAGTAACGATATTGTCGACGAGGACGATGACGATGGCAATCACAATGATGATGACGATGATGGTGATTATTCTCCAAGTCGTACCGCCGGAGTATAACACATTTCAATTCTTGGCTCCCCTCGATGCGCAAGCTGCAACTAGCTCCGTCTGTTGTAAACATGTCCAGATCAAGAGCTGCCAGAGACTCAGATGAGGTACGAGACCTGTGCGGCACAGAGCGGTTGGTTTGAGCAACCACTGATGTTGAGGGCTATCGTGTCAATTTATAGCCTATCTTGCAGCTGGAAAAGACGGAATCTCACAATTCAGCATTCTGGTGCTAGCAACGGCTTCAGTAAAAGTGCTGTCGGTGATGCTGATATTCGGCATGTGTGGATGCTAAGCTGAGCATGCATTTTCCACTTGCCGCTTGAATGCTGGAGCCAGGTTCCATCGCATGCAGCCATGCTCCTGGTTGTGCTTGATACAGCTATCGATTGGACTAGAGGTTTGTTCCAAGTGATGCACGTGTAGATTTCTGAATATGGTAGAGCAGAAGGATATCGAAGCAATCCCGTAAGTCGGGGACGGCTTGATCCCCTTTTTCAGGACTGGATTTCGGAATTTAGAAATGGGTTGGGCTGTAGAACTGGATTGGGATGCGGGGAACGGCGTTAGTTGACCAAAACGACTTCGGACGCAGCAAGGTTTCGCATCCGGGCTAGTTGTGTTCTCTCGTTGACAGCGTATGCAGCGAATTGCGGGGATATCAGAGTAGTATGTGGTTTAGTTTACAGTATACAACATAACATTTCGAGTTTTCCGTGGTCCATCTGCCATTTCTGTGTCTGGGATCCCAGTCCGCTGCCCCGCACGCAGAAACCCGAGTATGTAATCGAATATTACATTGCAGTACATGGTGTTGTAGCATCGTACATGATGCGATATGTAATTACGATATATATATATATATATATATATATATTTCTGTTTGATCTTCTGCTATAACCATGTGGATTATTTTGCTACATAATACGTATATGTATATGCATATGTATATATATATATACATATATATATATACAGATATATATATATATATATATAGACACCTATGCACACATATACATATGCACAGATGCTGAGGTCCACCTGTCCTCTGTGCGGCCAATTAGTGATGGGGGAGTCCGCCTCGAGGCCAAGGCCTGGTCTCGTTTTGTTCAACTGCCATCGCTTCCTTCACTATTAAGGACCCTAAACTATGGGATTTATGGTATATTCCTTATGATGGGTCATGCAGGATTTATATCATCAACCGTATGAGTTGCTCTAATCTATTGTGACTATTAGAAGGAACTATGCAGTGCTATAATCTACTTTAGCCATAAACAGGAACCCCAAAATAATGGTGGTCACGATTTAGGCCCTTACAGTACATGTCCTTCAGACTTAGGCTTTTGGGGGTTGCTCGTTATAGACAGTTTGGCTGTCGTATCGGTATGTGAATGACCACCTCTCCGCTACTTTCTGGGTCTGGAAACCTGGTGATTCTCCGTCAAGCTGTTGAGCTTTCCCCTGTTGCCAAGTTTGATATTTGTGCAGTAGCAGTGGCAGTGGCACTAGTGGCAGTGGTAGTGGTAGTACTAGTACTAGTAGTGGTACCACTAGTAGTAGTGGTGGTGATAGTAGTAGTAGCAGCAGTAGTAGTCGCCGTCTACTACTACTGCTACTGCTACACATAATGCATGACGAGTCTGTGCGATTTGGCTCCCAGGTCCGCACCCCGGCCGGGCGCACGGCCGGGGACGTGCGGGGCCGTCTCACAGAAGAGAGGCTTGGTCCTGCGGTCGCGAAGGCCGGATTGTCAGCTTGGAGAAAAGGTGCATGGTGGGGGGGTGTCTGCATGCGCAGGCGCTCGGGAGCCAGACGAGCCTGCGACCCTTCACTCTCGGGGCTATTGCTGTCAGTGGCATGGAGGCGATGATTCAGCACCAGGGGCTTGGCTTGATCTTTGAAGTCCATGCCTCGTGGACAAGACGTCCTCTGCTGTGCTGCAACGAGCGAACATGAGGCATCAGTGTCCATGTTGGAGCGCTTGCATCAACGTCCAAGTGCCCGGAGGTTTTCTTCGCGTCATCAAAGCACCCCTCGACAACCACCGCTGCTTGCCAGATTATACAAAATATTTGTACCAGACCCGATACAGCGGCGCTGCAGAGTTGGAGAGCTATGTGCTGAAAAGTACTACCACTACCGCACCTCCAGAATCCAAGACTGTCTCAACATGAATTTGAATCGCAGCGCCTGTGAGAAGCTTTCCAAGTGTGGGCTTTTCTTGCTTCGACGTCGGCTTCGAGGCATTTGGGGTGTTGGGTTCGATGCGGGAGCTGGAGCAGCCAAGTTGGGTGCAGTGTCGGTCCTCAGGGGTGCTTGGGGTCTGCATGGCTTCTCTTGGCTGGCCTCCCGTTCTCATGAGAAGCCTGCGAGGTGGCCCGTGCCCTCAACCGGAAAGCCACGCTGCCAACCAGACCTGAAACAAAAGAAACTCTCAAAGAAACCGGAGTACTTGTGAGGCTTCTACCACCCTCAGGGACGTGGCTTCGCCGGGGCCTTCGGGTTCACTTGGCCCCTGTTGGAGGGGTTGTTGTGGATTGGCTTAGGATCACGATTTGACGAATCTTCCAATGATGACAGTCCAGTCGATCTGCGAAGCACACATAGATCCAGCCGAAAATCTTGAGTTAACCAGTGATTTTGTTGTACCATTGAGATGTGAATCTCCGTTCGAAGCTACCGAACACCCAGGCAGGAGAGTGGCGACAGCCTTGGGGAGGCTTGGCCGTGCTTGCGGGTTTCGCGCCTGTGTTCTTCGGAGCGGTTTGAATGCTTCAAACACAGCCTGAACCCTTCGCATGCATCATGGAAGATCCCCGGGCTCTGTTGACTTCTTCGGTATGCTCTGCGTTGTTTTGTCACAACAGGCAGGTCTTGCAGTTCCGTGATCAGGCTCAGATGATGTACGTTGTTCTGGTGGACATGCAAGTCCAGGAGCCCCAGATTGCTATGACAAAGTCCAGCGGGCATTTGAGTTGGAGCCCTGCTAGATTCTACTGCGCATCTCGTATTGCATCAGAGACTCGTAGCATGGGAAGTCTCCACCTCCAAGATGGGCTTGGACAAAAACTCCGAGCCTCTTCCTGTCGGCATCTACCCCGGCTTACACTTATTGACGGTTTTCTAGCCGAAGTCTCTTACGGTTGTGTTTCTGCGAAGTTTTGCATCTTGCTGTAGCAAGTGACGGCCCTCGATGCAGAAGCATTCGACTTTTTGCGTGAAGTCAATATTCTGATAGCAGACTTTTTTCGAGGATCTGTGGTAAACTCTTGTTGGCAGATGGACGCACGGATTCAAGGCCGCGCTGAGAAACACCAGGGGGAAACAGCGGTCCGAAGTGTGCCACAAGCCAGCAGAGAATAAACTCATCGGTACATGTCGAATAGAGAGATCACCAACAAGATCCTAAGTGTAAGCTGTGTGCTGCACTTATTGTGCTTTTCGCTGTGTTTGTTGTTGCTGTCCTGCCAGTGTTTATGCTGTAGTGTTTCGACAGCCAATTTGGATGAACAAAGTGTTGAGTGAACGATTCCTTTGCACGCGCTTGGCAATATCCTCGTTGCGGTTCTGCGCATTGAGGTCGAGTGGAAGCAACTTTCACCATCGCTTGCCATAGCCGCCACCAGCACCCTCCATGCCGCTACCAAGACTGCGATCACCGGCCGCCACTGACACAACCGCCGGCTTCCTTACCATGTCTACCACCAGCAAGCCCTTGACGCCTCAACCTCATTCGTGAGAGAGCTCCAGGTCCGGAATCATGCTATTCGCATTTGCTGTGTGAATTACAGTGGGCAGTCATGGTCCTTGCATTGGCTTTGCAACTTCAATGTTGCTTTCATGCAGGATCTTGAGAAGTTTGATGGGGCGGAGTTTCTTCAAGCCTTCGCCCATGAAGTCGACGTTCCCAGGACAGGATTCCAAGCACCGACACCAGCACCGTCATCTGTCTGCCAGTATGACCAGCTTGTTTCAATGCTGTCCAAGGTCTCTAAAGCCATGTGCGGCATATAGTAGTGGGACATGCGGCTGGAGCGACGCACCCTCGAAGGAGTCGTGTCACGACCGTGCAAACGCAATTCCAGACCAAGGTCGCGTTGCATGTAGATGCTACTCGGGCGATTGGGTGGCTTTTCACCTGATCCTACTTGTTGTTTGTGGTTATCTCAGCCTGAGCTTCCCTATTCAGTTGGGTGACTCGGAGGCGTTGCGGGTTTGCCATGAAGTGGTCACTCAGGATGGGAATGGAGCGACGCCTCGGGAAGCCTTTTCTTGAAAACTCAGTTTTCGCCGAAGCGCACCGAAATCTACGTTCCCCCGAATCCCCCAACTGCAGATTGCTCAACCATCCGCCGATCACTCCTATATGCTGAAAGAGCAGGCTCCGAACTGTCAGCTCGGCACCAGGTGCGCTACCTGGTGCCAGCATGGGTTACACCGAGCTCCTTGCAGCCTGTCTTAGCCGCCGCAGTGGGAGCACCGCTGAAAGCCGTTGAGGCCGGCGGATTGGGATTTGGAGTTTCGGCGGGCACAGGAGACAGGGAGAGAGACTGTCCCTAGGTGGGCGGAGGGGTGGGAGGAAGCTCCGCCAGATGCTGGAATTCTGCACGTGGGGTGTGGCAGCCCTCCCTTGCTCCTGGGTGCTTGGTAGAGAATGGGGGAATGGATCCCTATACTAGTCTACAACAGTCCCCATAGCCCATGCCCCCATTCCCTACTAAGCACCAGACGAGTCGTTGACCCGTTGACCCCCAGGGCTCCGACGGTCGGTTTGTTCCGAGGTCTTTGCCTCCTCTCGGCGCCTCTCCGAGGCTCCGAGCCTCGTGGCCTCGGCCTCCTCGGAATCTTCTGCGGGAGTCGGAGTCTTTCAGCGAAGAGTCGATTTAGGTCAAGTCCGAAGTGTTGTGCGTTCCGTCTTGAGCACTGGGACTTGCAGAAGCTCTGAACAAAATCCTAGGCCCCGCTGTTTTGCACTCGGGTTCGCTTCAATGCGAAGCAGACGTCCCGAACGCTTCAACGGCTACAAAGCATGACCGGCATCGAAACTGAAGACCTTGTTAAGACCAAGTGTCGGAAGCTCGGTGTTGCTGATAACATATGAACAACCATGACAAGTAAGTACAGAAGCACATGCGTATATACGTGTATGCATGTATGTATGTATGCATGTATGTATGTATGTATATACATATTTATATATACATACATGTATGTGTATGTACGTACGCACTGACATTCGTTGTTTGCAGTCTCCTTCTCCATAGATGCACACACTATCTACCTTTCGAATTGTTTTCCTACCTAGCTACCTAGGTACCTAGCTACCTCTACCTGTCCGCCTGTTTACCTATCCACCCATAGACCTAACTACCTCGCTGACTCGGCAAATATGTGTATACAATATAGATATGTGTATGTATGTATCCATGTACACGCATGCTAACTGTATACTGCGATTGAAGCTCCAATCTTCGCCTCATGCTTCCCAGCAAGCTGCCGCCCCATTGCTTGACCTCGTGCCAGGGTGCAGTTGCCCAACACATCCTCGCCGCTGTGGTCAGCACTGAGGCGTGTGCTGCTACCACTACTGCTGCTGCTGCTGCTACTACAACAACTACTACGACGCCTGCGACGACGACTACTACTACTGCTAAGCATGAACTCCCAAGCCCTAAGCCCAATCTCTGGGCTCGTTCGCAAGGATCCCTCCATGGCTGCGCAGCTCGCAGAGGAGCTACGAGACCCCAAGAAGGCCACGGGTACTCGGAGTCTACTGGGGTTTAGATGGGTTTGAAGGCTCTTGATTTTGTGAGTGTCTCTAAGGGTCGCGAATCTCCTTGTTGAAAAGTTTTCAATTCTTGGGGCTTGGGGGGTGCTGAAGGTTTCCGGGGTTTTACCAGGGCTCCTGAGTTTCACCATTTTATGGAGATGTTCGCTATTCGTCTCACCTCATCTTGGGCTTCTTGCCAGCTGCGGTATTCCGGAATAAGGATCCACTCCCTAGACCCTTACAGAAGCCTTGCAGTAACCCTTGTAGTACCCTGAAAAGAAGCCTCAAAGGAACCCTGGAATTCAAGCTGACAGATCCAGAGCTGTCATCAGCGTATACCGTACAATCATTGTTCTCGCTTATCTCTGGACCGTTGAAGCTCGAACTGCAAATGCAGCAAGCCTACACGACTGGATGTCTGAACCTCCACAAAGTTTGCTGGGAGGTCGAGAAGGCAGCAGAAGCACAAGGCATAGCCTCCCCGCCACTGCAGTTGGAGCAGGTGCTGGGGAGTTCAGATGGTAGGTTGTGGGATAGGAGTCCTGGGGCGTTCGATAGTGAAGAGAGTCGGAAGCGACACGTTCGTAGTGTGTTCTCCGCAAATGCGAAGAGTTTCATCCTGCCTTTGTGTGCGTAGTGTTGTGTTTTGCTGCCAGTGGAGAACCCAGCTGGGCACGGGCTATGGCAGTACCTGCAGCAAACAGGCACCGAGCGTCGCGGTGAAGCTGCACACGCTGCTAGTCGCTCGGATGCAATTGTACTGCGACAGGTTCAGAACGCTTAGTATGTGCGGCCTTCAGTTGTATCAATCTTCCACTCTGCCAGCTGTCCTGCAGCCAGAACTGCAACATCGAAAACCCCTGCACCAGCCTGAGCCATGACACCCACAACTTCGAAAGAAACTCCGCAAGCGTAAACGCTTAACCCCGACTCTGTAAGCAGATAAAACCCATCTCTCTAGCCGAGGGGCAATGGTGTGGGCTGAGCAAAACCCCAACCCACGAGGACCTGCCGCGGGATGTGCTTTCTGCGCCGACACCGAAGCACCTTTCTGCGGAGAGCTTTTGCTGCAGAGAATCAGCATTGAACATTACGTTTCGTATGCTAAAGTTTACCCCAGAACCCTATGCTAGTTACTCGGACCATTGAGTGGGGGCTCGGGAGCATTGTGTAGGAGAATACCGGGTTTCGAGCAATGGCGTCTCAGGCTTCTCATCTTTTGGCCATGGGAAGATCTGTCCATGTAAATTACTGGACGGTTGTTCTAATGTTCATCCTTTTCATGGTTATCCGGTTATCCTTGCTCAGGTGCGCTTCACCCTCCCAGCCCTCATCTCCTCAACCTCATCCTCTTCAATTTCTCAAGCTTTATCACTGCATATCGCTCGTCTCACCTGTATCTTTCTCTTCAGCTGCGCACACCTTCACCCTCCTCATCATATCTCACTCACATCGTGATTTTACCGATTAGGCTCATGATCATGCCGAATTGGCACGCTTTTAAGAGCTAAGAGTTAAGAGCGCCCAAGGCTGCGCCACCGCCTCGGGGTCGAAGCGACGGCCGACGTGCTGGGTGTGCGAGAGGCAGCGCAGATCCAGTTTCCATACGTACTTTCCCATGGAATCTCCATCGCCTCGAGGGCTTCCAATGTTCGCATTACAGGATTCCCACCTTGAAAACCTCAATATGTTCAGACTCCACTTGTGGAAGTATCCCGAGATCATCTTTGCAGGTCATCGAGCAAAGATGGCGGCCGGATGAAATGCCAAAGCCACAGGCGCGGGGCGGAACTTGTTCTTACGCGTATGCTACTCGCGAAGACGAACATAATGATCTCTATTTACAGAACACATGATCTCGGGACCTTTGTCAGGTTTTCCTCAGGTTTTTCTAGCCCTCAAAGCTACGGCATGCTGCAGTGCCTTAATCTCGAAGTGTCTCGACCTGCTTCGATCTCGACCTGGCTCTGTGTCTCTGTATCTGCGAGGGCCGTTTCTGAGCCACCAAGGCAAGCGTCGTCCCTGCGACGACCCGGGCCACCACCCACGTGACCACCCAAGCTACTACTACGACCACCACCACCACCACCGCTACTGTGGCCACAACCACGAAAAAAGAGAACCTGCCGGGGCCTCGGAAGCGGGTGGTGCCCGGGAATGGCTGGGCATGTACCGAAGTTCTTGACTTTCGCGGAGTCACACTTTGTGTCATCGGATGCATGCAGGGTCATAAGAAGGACTGCAAGTAATGATATCAGTTTGCCAATTCCCGCAAAGGACCCTTCCGTCTGTACAAGCAACAGCCGTCAGCCTTGGAGCCGCCAGATCACCAGAAGACGCGAGGAACAAACAACCGCTGCTGGGAAATGGGCAGAACAAGGGCGTGGGGACGTGGAGGAGTGAGGGCGTGAGCGAGTAGAAGCTGTGTAGATGCCATGTGTCGGCCCAGGAAGGAGGCTCCTTACGGCACGGGGGAGGCCTGGCATGACGATCTGTGCAATCAGGTGAGGATTCGTTTCGACTGACTGAATCGCCGTATGTCTGTATGCCTGACCAGGACCTGACGATGTACGTCATTCAGGTGGAGATGAGCCTGAAGGATCCCTGTGAGATATTCCGATGAGTGCGTGTGTGGGTGTGTACGTAAGCTTTCGCAACCGAAGATCGGTATGTTTGCATGAGGCCTGCGAGGAATGCAGGGTATCCGATCCATTCCGCAGTGTGTGATGGAACCTAAGCCATGGACCTAGCCCAGACCTAAAACAGTCAATGTCAAGTCGAGGTGACGGCGGCGGCGGTTGCGGTAGTTGCAGATGCTCCTTCCATCGCCTCTGATTTTGTGTAATGCTTCTGACTGTTGTCGAGCAGTCAGGACAGGCCTTGAGCTCCTGGGAAGAGACGCAAGCGAAGCGCTGCTTGAACAACTAAGCTTCGAGAATCGAACTCCGACATGGGTTCAAAGACGGTGTGGGTCTTTCAGCCACGAGGGCATAAGGTTGGAAACCCGGCTTCCTTTGTCCCGTGACATTGACAGACACGGCAAAACAAAGCGCAACAAGCTTTTGTCATCACGGACGAGTGCAGGCCAGTCAGGCTACAGCAACGTGAAAATGGGGGCTTTAGTGACAGCAGGTGTTCCATTGGCTGAAGATGTCGCGGCGTCCCGAAAATGCAGAAGGTTATGTATTTAATGCGGCTGTGTGACGTGCAGCTACGCTATTCTGGTCCGTGCAGACATGGTTTTTTTCGATGCTTCTAGCTCGCAGGATCTTGTGCGCTTCGATGGTACCAAGTTCATCGCCGCCTTTGCTCATGAAGTTCATGCCCCGAGGACAGCTTTTGCTTGGACCCCCACCCTTTCCAATTGCATCGTCGTATACTGACACGGCGGCAAGCAGGAGTCGAATTACGACCGTGCAAACGCAGTACCAGGCCAAGGCGCCGTGGCGGCACAGGGGCGCCGTAAGCCGATGTGTCCCGATCACCCCCGATGTCCTCGACAGATCCGGCCAGGTGCGCTACCTGGTGCCCACATGGCTTGCGCCCAGCTCCCTCCAGCCGATGCTGGTGGCAGCCCTGGGAGCGCCGCCGAAAGCTGTCGAGGCCAGGGTGTATGCTGACAAAAAGTGGTACTTCGGAGAAAAACGCCCCGTGTGTTGGATGAATCAGTCTTCTGTCCATGCCAAGCTTGTGGCTTCCACAGTAGTGATTATTGCGGGGCTTGCGTAGTAGTGGTGGTGGTAGTAGTAGTGGTAGTAGTAGTAGTAGTAGTAGTAGTAGTAGTAGTAGTAGTAGTAGTCGTAGTAGTAGTAGTAGTAGTAGTAGTAGTAGTAGTAGTAGTAGTAGTAGTAGTAGTAGTAGTAGTAGTAGTAGTAGTAGTAGTAGTAGTATAGTAGTAGTATAGGAGTAGGAGTAGGAGTAGGAGTAGGAGTAGGAGTAGGAGTAGGAGAAGAAGTAGACGTAGACGTAGACGTATTGGTAACGGTAGTGGCAGTGGCAGTGGAAGCAGCAGTAGCAGTAGCAGTTAGAAATTTAGTAGCAGCAGTAGGGGTAGGAGCAAGCCGCTCGAATCAACATCCTGCTGGGCCTGGCAGGTCACCCTGGGGTCTTCACGGCGACTTGCGGAGGTTCTGACGATCAATCTGCCCTCAACCCGAATCGTTCAGCCCACTGCCGAGGGTTCGATGTCCTTGCAAGAAGCGTGTAGTGTCCGGTGGCTTTCTGCTTTGCAACCAGTGGCAGGATGAAGCTGCCGAACACGTTCTCAGCGCTGTGGTCAGCACAGAGGCGGGGGACAGCATTCGAAGTGTACTGCCTGAGAGCAATTCGTAAAGAGGCCTACCGCAAGACCTGTTAATTGAGCAGAAGGCGATATTGCCGGCCAACGAAACATTTTGAACCTGGGTACCTTTTCAGCTGGTACTAGAACCGCTAGCAAGACCAAGAGGCCTGAGACCTTGTCATCTCGCGGCACAAATCTGCAACCCTCGAAATGCCATCCGACTCTCTATGCAAGGCTGCGTCCACAGCGGTAAAGCTGGCGCAAGAGCTCCGGGACCCCACGAAGGCAAGACGCAGGGATCGGGCTCGTGTTGCAGAGTTGTTGGGGGCATGCAGCTATGCTACTGTTGGTAGACGGGTTCAGTAATGCGCTGCTGACGCCACGTGAAGGTCTTGGATGCAGCTGCGACACAGGGTGTTCCCTCCTTTGAGTTGAAGCTCCAGGAGGTGCCGGGGACGGCCTCGGCGGCCGTTTTGGTCGCTCAAGATTTGTGGGGCTTTGGCATACCTAGGCTGTGGGCTATGCAGTGCAGCTCAGGATAGGCCCTAGAACAACCCTGGCCCAGTTCCTGGACCCAAGGCGAGCTCCGAACTTCAGTCCCCGGAGTCAACACCCCGGAAGGAGGGGGGGGAGAAATCCGGTCACGTACCATTTGGGTTCCTGCCACGCTCACCAACACTGGCACCCCGCGGCTTGCTTTCTGCATGGAGGCCCCCAGTGTGGCGGTGCAGTTGAAAACGATGTTGGCCACTTGGACGCAGTAAGCTTGGAGACGAATTGAGGCGATGCAGTAGCAGAGTGGGGGTTTGCGGTAGAGGGTATCCGAGGAGAAAGCTCCCATTTCGCAAGTTCTGCCTAGAATCTGCCCTCCGGTAAAGGTCCAGCCATACCCATGCTTTCTCGAAAGTGGCAGGATCTGCCCGACGATGTTCTGGCAGCACCGATGCCGAAGCATCTTTCCGCAGAGTGCCGCTGCTGCATTGCTTGGAGGATCTTCGAACAAAGTTGTCAGGTTTTGTAGCATAAAGATTGATAAGGTCGCGGTGTTCTGGCCAGTTTTCCTAGTCATGATAGTCAAGCAATGGAAGTGTCACTGCAGACTCATACAACTCACAGGAAAGACAAGCTCTAGCTGCTAGCAGCCGAACAGGCTGAGCAAGCGCCTTGGTGTCGAAGCGACGGCCGACGTGTTGGGGGTGCGAGAGGCGCATGTGCGTTCTACATCCGCGCTGTCGGGCTCGGTCCTGTCTGACACTCGCAAGCGGGAGAGCTCATGTAAGACGCGTCTTCAAATTGCAAATTAGTCATGTGCCTGCCTAAACTCCGCAAGCCTGGCTGCTTCAACAAAATGTACAGCGGCATGAAGGTGATCGAGCAGAGGAGGCGTCCAGATGTAGCCACGAAGGAGAAGGCCAGACCGGGCAAGGTATGTAAGTGTCATGTTGGGATAAAGTGGGTAACAAGATCCACGATCTAATGTCGCAGCTCCCTCATCCGACATGACCGAGCTTGCCTGAACCTGGAAATGACCGAGATCCGAGCAAATTGGTAGAAGCGATCCCAACTCAGAGGACGACTTTTGAAGATCCTTGCACAGACCGTGAGTCCCAAAGCCCAAATCCTCACGTCATTTTAAGCCCGCAACTCCGCACCCTAAATCGCCCAGGCGCCAACATCGCCCAAAGGGCTCGGCTCGCTCTTCCACATCCGTGCCGGGCGAGTGCCGTGGCGGCGGAGGGGTAAGGATCCGTCCGCTGTTGCCTGTCTGATAACTGACTATCTTTCGAACAGTTGAGTTTTGTGTTATAAGTCGGGATTGGATCGGGTTGGCGTTTGCATGCTCAGCGGCTGTCGCATCGGCCAACACCATAAGTCCGAAGCTAGCACGGTGCTCCTGCACTCTTAGACTCTTGACTACTGAAAGATGGATCGCGCCCACCTTTCAAAGAGTGAAGCTACCAAGATCAGCATCAACAATCTTGGTGGTGTGCGCTCCTCCAAAGAGCCCGAGGAGCAAGTGCGGAGCGACTGGAGATGTAAATGTTCATGTCCCATGTTTCTGCACGAGGGATTGGTTCTTTCGGCATGTCCTCGTCTGAAATCCGAGCCAACATTCGAATTCATCGAGTTTGAAATCGTAGGTCTGGCGGGTTGGGCTTGTTCAGTTCACAGGGAGTTAGAGATGTAGGCAATTTGGGAGGCACAGCACTTTTATTTCGATGGTAAGTCGGTCAAGCAGAATCCAGCAAGTTGGGTGGAACTGTTCGGTTTTGGGGGCGGTTTTGTCATGACTGAGTTGCTTCTGAACTTCTTGTCAGGAAAGTGGGAATGAGTATCAGTCGTCTGAAAAATGTAATTTCGTCACTGGCAACGCTTACCTTGCTCTTGTCTCACGCTGACGAAGAGCGACGGTGAGTGCCGAAGCCCCACAGTGCTCAACAAGTAGCAAGTTGTGTCCCAAGTTCCAAGTTCTCGCACTTGTAACTGGAGACATCATGAAGCCCGGTGGAATTGTGAGGGATATAATGGTAGATGTTTTCGGCGGGGTCACCTTCTGCCTTTCGTCAGACCTCTCAGCAAGCAAGCGAGCGAGCGAGCAAGAGAGTGACATGGACACTCACTGACAGCACAGTTTGACAACATGTCGACAGTCACAGTCGAAATTGAAATCACCTGTCCGATTGGAAGGAGTTGCGCTATAGTCATGTGGCCAGCGCTTTTGGCAAGGAGCTGGACTTGGCTGGGGTCTTGGTTGAATCATGTATCATAGACTTCTCGTCATCTAGATCCTGAGTTCCTCACTTCAGTGGTGAGGAACGCTCCACACTACAACAACTCTTCAGGCCTTGCACTCTAGATCACCTAGCCTCGTTGTGTATATCAGTGGAAACCTAGCAGCTAGCATTGATAGCTCGCAAAGGCCAGAGACCCTGTGGATTTCGTCAGCATTGCATGGCTTTGACCCATGCTCTCCTACAGAGGCGAGCAACGATAGAGCCCGAAGCAAAGACGAGCCCTGCTGAAACGGCTCACCGCTGCGAACTTTATGGGGCCACAGCTCGGGGCTCTTCATGCCCTTGCAACAAGGTCGTTCGAGCCGTCGGGTCCTACAAGCCCCGGGATCCGGCGCTGACTGGAATCGATGGACATGTCTTCGCAGCGGCCATCAACGCCGGAGAGGGAGGGACTTGGGCCAAGTAGCGTTGGGTCAGTTGTGGAGTTGTGGTTTGAGGCTGCTGGCTTGCAGAAGTTTGGGACTGTCGTGACAGCCCATGGAGCAGACACCGCACTCCCGCCGGCAGGTGGCCAACGATGGGGATGTTCAGCTCGAGGTCTCCGTGGTCGAGAAGGAGCAGTTCGTAGGACCGTAGGAGAGGTCGAGGGAGCATCGCTTCAACTCTGAGCCCAGGATTCCAATAAGCTGGTCCACCTCCCTCAGTGCCACGTCTCTGTCTTCGACATTGAGGCGGGCGAATGCGACCTTTTATGGGGCTGAGTCGTTCTCCGGAATGCGCTTGGAGGACCCGCTGCCCACGCTCTCTGCCTCTGGGCAGGTGGAGGTTCTCGGCGCGAAGGTGGCGTGTGAACGGGATAAGCCTGGATAGTAGCCTCTCAAGCCGAGGGTCGAGGAAGCCTCGCATTTGCAAGTGGTTGCCAGGTGATGTTTTGGCGCAATGGCACGGCCGTGCCCATGAAGGCACGCTCTTGCTGAGCTAGAGCCAACTGGACAGCACCAAGAAGCCGGGATATCCGAGCATTTGAAAGAGGAGCCCTGGGCCCCACAAGGGCCTGCTGCTTGGTACCCGGTGGGTGAAGATGGCGCGGTGCGGCTGCGGATCCGCGCGGAGCGCAGCGGAGGAGTGCCATGGGGTCGTTGCAGATGAGGAGGTGGAGTTTAGCTCTGTGGTTCGGGCCCCGGGCTTCAGATTAGTCTTGGGCACAAGGTGCGGGAAGATCCTTACGGTTAAGTTCGATTGAAGATGAGATTGACGAGCACAGGCAGTGTGAACCAAGAATTCGGGTTTCAGAATGGTTCAAAGAGCTGAAGCCGCAAACGACACCACTTAAACCCGACACTCTCGAAGCCTCAGGAAGCAGTCGGTTTGGTCTAGAGTCTAGAAGATGTTGGCCTGAGCTTTCACAGGTTCTCACGGATCCTGCAGCTGAGGTAGGGGCTTACGGATCAAGGCTTTATTTAGTCTCTTGAAGGAATCCCCTTCCCATGGCTGACACCCCAGGGAATGCACTGAGCTCCGCCTGGGTGGGGCGCAACTTCTTCATAGCGCTGCGATCTCCAGCTGTGACAGTACCGGCCTTTGCTGAATGCCGGCTTCAGTTTCTTAGGCAGCGCTCGAGATGGCGATTAATCCATGCACTCGGCAGTGCACTGTTACCACTGTCAGCCTTTGCAACGTTCGGATTGCAGATGCCTCAGACCACCAAGGTGCAGGAGGAGATCGATGCGCCAGCCAGAGGACGTTGATTTTGCATAGATGCTGTGTTCATATTATAGAAGCACGATGCATGCAAGCACTTAGCTTGTTTGCTTGCTGCACACACAAAACACACTCAGTTTGTTGTTGTTCTTCTTCTTTCTGCTTAGGCTGCTGGTCTTGCTGCCTGTACGATGATGACGGCTGCATCTCCATCATCGGCACCATCGTCGTCATCATCGCCATCACTATTAGCGTACCGTCGCCGTTACCATCGCAATGACCGTCGCTGTCACCAGCACCATGACCGTCACCGTAACAATAGCCATCGCCGATCAGTATCACCATCTTTATTCTGGTCACCATCTTCATCAGCATCAGCATCAGCATCATCATCAGCATCATGATCAGCATCATCATTATCAGCGTCATCATCATCAGCGTCATCATCATCAGCATCGTCATCATCATCATCATGATCATCATCCTCATCACTTTCATTATTAATAGGATCAGGATATGGGCCTCTTGTTGTCGTGGTTGTTGTTCTACTTCTTCTTCTTCTTCTTGTTCCTGCTGGCACTGCTGCTGGCGCTGCTCAACATATTGTTTCGTAAATTACAAAAGTTTGAACATACGGAGCCGTAAACTCAAATGTTGAGTTGGGCGCGAGGATCCCACGAGGCTGTGGCTCAGGCACGGCAACTTCGGGTGGGGCGTAGGGATGTTTTGGGGTGTTGTGGCGGCTTCGAGGGTGGAGCTATGACGACACTCGGGAAACGAAATCAGCAGACTCCCCAAGCACTCAGACAAATGCCCCGAAGCCACAGCAGAAATAGGCTAAACTTCTGAATTATGTCTTGCCTTGCCTAGGCGGCCTGGAAAAGGTTAGGGCGCAAGCTGCTGCTTGGCCGTGACAACGTGTCTTGGCAGTAAGCTCCTGTTTTTGTGGTATTGATGCTTCGTGGTGACCGCTAGCACGAGAAACTGGAACACTGCTTCCAGGCTCTCGTAGCAAGTACTTGTAGAAGATAGCCGACCGTACTGAACTACTCAACTCTTTGACAAGGCTGCAACTCGTACTCCACGTGACTTCCTCGATCGTGAGTTACAAACCACCCTAATTCTCAGACCTCAACTGTAAGTTTTGCCTTCCCGACACGGATTCTGACTGTGGTTGAAAAAAGGCGCTCAAACAAACAAGGAATGTTTTCTAAGTCCGAAACTCTAAACGCTTTTTCATCCTAGCACCACACCTGCAACCCGAAGCCCTGAGTCCAAACGCTTATCAATCGAAAAAAGGCGTTCAAGAACACAGCACCCGGTGCAGTGGCCTCGTCCCCATGGCTCACTTACCTGTGCGATTCGGATCCTAAGGCGGGGCGAAGGTTCTCGTGTCCAAAAGACCTTGAGCTCCAGATCATGCTATCCTAAATCGTCAACCCTCAACCCTAAACCCTCAACCCTAAAGCCTCGACCCTAAACCCTAAAAGCCCTAAAAACCCTAAAACCCCTAAACCGAGGTGATCTTCAACAACCTGGGAGGCCAAGGCCCCGGCCACCTGGACGAGCCGCCGGCTGCTGGCTTGCAAGGGGGCCTTTGCTATAGAGACGATAAAGCTTCAGATGCTACGGTATGTTTCATGTGCACATGGGTACATGTGTACATCTTTACATACACAGGGTATGCATATGCATATATCTAGATATATCAGAACCGAAAAAATATTTGGATACATGTCTTTGTATGTTTGTGCCCCTGTGTATTTCGATATTGGCACTTACAGGCATGTGCACATGTTTGCATATGCGCACATGTGCAAATGTTGCTTACTTCGTAGCTATACTTACTCAGTTGCTCGGAAAGTATCATGTGCATCTGCATATGGCATATGAGCACATGTGCATATGTGTGTTTCTGTATACTGGTATATGCTATGCATAGGTGTATACATGTGTATATGAGTGTGTGAGTCCTGCCTGTTTGTTTGTCTGCCCGTCTGCATGTCTGTCTGTTTATCTAGCTATCCATCTATCTGTTTATGTGCAAACAACTACCTGTCTGTGCGTCTATCTGCAAGCATAGACCTGCGTGTCAGTGTCTATGTCTGTGTCTATATTTATGTGTATATCTCTATCTATGTCTACACCTCTACCATATCGATATCTGCATGTGTTGCTTTTGGGCTAACAATATACATTCCGGTAAGTAGTCTCGTCTGTGCACGTTTGAGCCTCTACGCCAAGGAGATTCGCTATGCCGCGGTTGGCAGCGTTGGCGGCGACAACGTCGACATGGCACAGTGCTGGGAGAAGATTAGCAAATCACGTAAGTATCGAGAGTGATATCTGCTGTGACTGATGTTATCACTATAAGACTTTTTTACAGTTGTTGTTGCTGGCATTGCTCTATTGGTGCTTTGGAAATCAAGCCCCAACAAGTCCAGCAGAGACCACGATGCATTGATTGTCCAAATCCTTGTGGCAGATTTTGGGAGCCGAACCGCAGAAACCCCCAGATCTTAAACCCCACATGATCGTTAGGTAATATCCGTGGGCCCTGGTAGCGATCCCTACCAGCCGGAGGAGGCAGGGATCTCAGCCTCCCGTGCCGGAGTAACTCTGAGAATTCCGGGGTTCAGTGGAGGGATTCGAGGCTTTTGAGGAACTCGGGGGTGTACCTTGACTAGTGAGACGTGGGGCACCTGATGATCCCACTCTCAATCTTGTCTTCTGCTGGTCCCTGGCACCCTGAATGCCCAACTTCATATGCCCAGGCCGATGCCGAGCCTCTGAGACCCCAAACACAGGCTTTCCAAGCGCCAGGGGCATGCTTCTTATTGTCATTACTACTGTACATGTTAATGTGGCAACAGTGCCAGTAGCTCCAAGAAAGAGATCACTTTCCGTCACAGTTTGCTCCTCGAGGCCTCTTTCAATGCAGCTTCGGGGCATTTGCGCGCCGCGGTCAGCGCGCCTCGTCCCGCAGTCCCCTTCCGAAGCCTGTTGGGTTTTCCCTCCCGGATGGGGTTGGATTTCAAGAGCTGTTGGGTGCGGGAGGCCCCACGACAACTCTGCATTTCTGGAGTGCTTTGATTTTGTGCTGGTCGTGATATCTGCGCACCGAACATAGCTAAATCCGAAACTGGTGATAGGAGCAGGCTTTCAAGGTTAAGCACGGGAAAGAACAGTAAAGCCTCAGACCCGAAACAGGTGAAGTCTGGAACTTCAGTGGACCTTCGTGTGCGGTTGCAGAGACCGCTGTCCGCACACGAGGCGCAGAGGGCCTCGGAAAGTCCTCGACTCGTCACCGTATAGAAGCAGGATGCTAGATTTTTCCACGCCAGAGCCTCGTGCTACTGTAAAAGCAACCCCAAAAACAGCGACCCCTGACTGCCGATGCTCGTGCGAAGCTTTGGCACTATGTTGTCTCAAACGACGCAAACCGGTCCAGACCCTACTGCAAGGGCGCGAAGCCTTGAAGTAGCAGAGGTTTTTGATGTGGGAAAGCTCGGAGCGTTGCATGCAGTTTTTTCGTGTTTCGTTGAATACTCACGTTGCTCCCTGCATTGCTTTCATCGCATACACCATTCGTTCGATCGCATGCAGCTATCAAACTGAAAGTTTCCGACCGAGAAGGTGGTGGTTCCACGGATCTATCTCATGATTGTGGATGTGGAGGAGTCCAGTTCAGGGTGATCCGGGAGCATCCGGGAGCCATGAGTTCCCGGAGCATTGCAAACAATCCAGGAGCCGAAACCGTCGCTTTCACCGGCGGCGGAGGTGAGTCTGTGGGGCTTTGAGGCAGGGAAGCGGATTCAGTGTGGGGTTCCTTGCATTATACGAGGCTCCTTGCGACTCGTTCATGCATCTTTAGGTCAGGTCTTGCAACTTCCGAAAGTCTCTTGAGAAGCATCGCTGCGTGGCCGATACCCGTACTGTGCAGGCGGTCCTGTTTCCCAACGGCACCCACGTGCCAGCCTCCAAGCTGCTTGTGCCGGGTCAGGCGCCACAGACTGGGTGTCACCTCAAAGCCAAGAGCATCAGAAACTTTGAGAAACCGACGCCTTTCACGGTGCAACGCTCCCACACACAAGGTGCTCAAAGACCTCTTTGATATCGTTTCGTTGTTCGCTTCAAGAGCAGAGTTCTGTGACATGCTCGCAGGCAATCCAATTCGACTACAACTTGTCAAAGGGACCGTTTCAGGAGTTTGCCGAGACTTGATCGTCCGCACCGATTCTTTGAAGGGAGAAGGTTCACCCGGTGGCAACTTGCCGTAGCATGGAGATTGTCAAACCAAGCGACACAATCTAACTAGAGGCTCCAAGGCCCTCCGGCTTGGCCCCATGTTGAACTCCTCAAGTCACTGCAAGGCCACCAAACCTCAACTAAAAGCATGCTTAAACCCAATTGCAAGAAGTTGCATACAGCCTTCAACTCAATTCCGAAAGCCCAACATCCAAACACGGTTACACTCCAGCCCATCGCCTGCGTCCCAACGAAGCCGAATCAAAACCCTAAAATCGTCTGTGTGGACCCCTGAAAACAAAAGCCTCGAATCCTGAAGGCCTCCCAGTGGATGCGCCGTTTCAGTTGAGACTTGTCCGTTCTGCTTGTGATTCTTCTTCTTCCTCGTCGTGTCATAGCTGCGAAATCACAAGCATGGTGGTGATGTGCTGTGATTGTCACTAGGATGATGGTGATGGATTGACGGTGATGCTGGTGCTGATGAAGCTGCTGCTGCTGCTGCTGCGGCTGCTGCAGCTGATGATGATGACGATGATAGTGCTGCTGCGGCAGATGTGATGATGACGATGATCAGAACCATGATCATGATGATGATGGTGGTGGCGGTCATCATCATTATCAGCATTATTTTCTTCATGACTTTCCTTATCATCATCGTCACTGTTGTTGTTAGCTCTGGGGGCCTCCCGCTGCACCGTGGCACAGACCTGGCCGGTTCCGCACGGCTCGCCTGTGGCCGTGAAGTTCGAGGCTGGCGGAGCCAAGGGAAGGAGAGTTTTGAGGGCCAGGAAAACTCGGAGGGTGAGGGTGCAGCGTGTTCGCGATCGTGACGAGGGCAAGCAGGATTCGGGATTCTGCCAGACCAGCATGAATGTTGCATCTGTGATATTTGCATCCCCTGGAACTTTGAGCACAAACCTGAACTAGGACCTCTCTAAGCCCTAAAACCCTCCAGCAGCCTCGAGGACCTGGCGGACCTGTCGATGACGCTACGCGCTCTTGGTGAAGGCGCGCTTGGAGTGTTGTGAAGCTGAGGATGTGGGCAGTCAGCGTTCGGCAATTCGGGGCTTGTTAAGACTTCGTTCAATATGCTGAATGAAAGTTGGGTTCTGTTGACTGTGCAGCAGAAGAGCGAATGGCCGTCTGAAGTTGTCTGGCATCGGTAGCCATGCTACAAGACGTTCGACAATTTGAAGATGACCGTCAACAAGTAGCTGCAGTGTGCGATTGTTGGGAGTGCAGTGCCAAAGTAAAGCAATTAGCCAGCGCCAGAAAAGCTGCAGTACTGCTTCGATTCAAGCCGTCGGCCTCATTAAGAAAAGCCACCATGGTTCGGTTTCCTCCACGTCCCAGTGCGCAGATCGAGCAAACGCTTCCGAAAAGGTGGACGAACCTTCTTCTTTTCCCTCTTCTCTCCGGACATAGAGGCCGGCTAGTGTGGCAAACAAGCAGAACCTGACAGTGCGAGCGGAATGCACCACCAGGACTATTGGAGGCGCCTTTGTGTGTGTTTGTGTGCAAAATCCGAAGACCTAGTCTGGGTTGTACTTATTATGTTATATTCGAATTTGAAGGTAGATGTGACAGTCTATTCGGATGTCTCGGGGCTGTCTTACTGCTCAGGACCTTCACCCTAACCCCCAGATCCAAAACTCCATGAGCAAATATAGTATAATCTGCTATATCTGCTCTTATACTAGAATACAATACGATAGAATATGAAGTAACATGATATGTTATGGGATATTATACTACTCAGTAAGAAGCAGAGTAATATAGTATACTATCGCATAGTATAACACGAGTTGCTCTAATGCAGTATAACATATTTTGGTATAAATAAGTATAATATTAGATAGTACAATACACTTTAATATCTATTGTAATATGAGACGAGAGAATACAATAGTCTACTTTGTGAGATAATAGAATAGAACATGATATAACATAACGTGAGATAATATGGGACAGAATGATATTGGATAACATAATGCAAGTAGGCAAATTGAGACATAGTTCACTCTAAGATACTATGCTTCGATACAGTCATATTCTTGTATAGTTTCCCATAAACCCAAAAGCCCGAAGACCCAGTCCTGCTGTTTCTGGCTTTTTATTGTCTGCAGGTGCCTTTGGACAGGCAGCAGGCCGCGCAGCCCCTCGCAGCCGCTCGAGGCCCCGGCAGGGGGTCGTTGAAAGTATGTGCAGTAGGGTTTTCTGTAGATGTTATCGATCTGGGGTGTCGCGGGTTTCTATGTTTTTTTGGGTTGAATGCCTCCTTTTGCAATCTCAGCGACAATGTCGTAGTGCTTCGTCTTTACACGAAATTTTCGGGCTAGGTCTAGGTTTGAAGTCGCTCGAGAGCTCTGATTGAGAGGTGCAGATGATTAGCTTGTAGGGTTGCTTTCAAGCACGTTAGATGTCTCGCTTGCGCTGGTTGTGGCCAGACCATGCCTTCATGCACGCAGCTGCCGTTTGCCACTCAAGAGCCCGCAAACTTCTTTCCAAGGTCGAAGTGCATGCGCATCTCGCACCTCAGGATCTGCTCAAGGTGATCAGACTGATCGACTCTTCACATCAGCAGCTGCAGTAAAGGCAAGGGATGCCGAATTCTGGAATCGACAGAGCCCGCAAGCCTTCAACAAGCCTTTCCACGAATGCTCTGACGGCACAAGATGCCTCTCCTGGTCGCGACGCAGTGTGCGCGGCCAGCGCTCTTGGGACGATGGCCGCACATTCCGTTGCCCTCCAGAGCCCGGGGCTCCTTGGATGGAGCAACGTTCAGGATTTCAGTATGATTGAGGGCCTAGGCATGTTCGCAACTGAGGCAGGCAAGGCTAGTAAGAAATGCCATGATGACCCGGTGTGCCGGTAGTAACCATGTAATGCTGGTATTGATCGTCGTCATGTAGTAGCAGCAGCAGTAGCAGTAGTAGTCGTTGTCGCCGTGGCAATAGTAGCCTTACAGTAGTAGACGCGGGGTGGTGGTGGTGCTGGTGGTGGTGGTGGTGGTGGCGGTGGTGGTGGTGGTGTTGAAAGTTGCAGTAGTGGTGGATGGGCAAACGTAAGCAACACTACCAGGACTGTCAACCTGAACATAATGGAAGACTTGCTTGCAGTAGCAGCGTCGGTACGCGTGCATGGCATCGAGATTCAACAATGTTAATCATTAGCTTCTGAGTCGTAGTGCTCGTATTTCGTGGGAATGAATCGCGCAGTAGTCGTAAAGATGCCAGAGGGTCTCTGTAGACTCGTGTTTTCAGCTGCAGATTTCGGATCGAGGCCTTCGGCTCTAGACTCCGGGGTTCAGGGCACGGTGCGCAACCTTCGGGAAGTCTGCCCTGCCTTCAGGTTCGTTAGATCCCTGAGAATCAGGTGCTTTCGCCAGGCGTTTTCTCCTGCCAGAGCAAGGACACCTGCGATTGCTGGTACTGTATAGTATCACTCGCAGACGACCGTGAAAATGTGGGGTGCGTGCTGCGGAATCCGAAAGCCCAGAGTATCCAGGATACGGCCGCCTTGGGCACATATCAGTTCTGCTTTTAAAGTCGTGTGCTCAAACCATTTCGGCATGGCTTGCTCTGCGGTAGACAGTCACAGAACTTGCGAGATGAGGAGTTGAACACGCCAGAACTCTACTCCCCGCCTCAAAGCTGAAACCCACGCAATCTGGCAACTCTGTGCAGGACTGCGGGTATTTTGCGCTGGTCTTGGCTTGGCACCTCTGACAGCTCGCGCTCACCGCAACACGCGTGGCCGGGGCATCGCTAGCCGCTTGGCAGCGAGACGAATCGTTTTCAAGAAACTCTGCTGTGCAGGACGTATTCTCATCACAGCCTAGTGCTGTGAGCTCGAGGCGCCGCTGCAGCAGACCACTACGGGCTGCTGGGTCTTCAGCGCCAGGCCGATACCCAGGTGCCCGGCATGGGGCAAGGATTTCGCCCCAAGGCGTAGACGGTTTTTGTTGGTCTATCGGGCTTGTGAACCATTCGTGTTCCTTCACCTGGACCGTAAACCCGTATATGTAATCCTTGCGGCACAATCGATGCCAGGCAGAAGTTCCACGGAGATTTGCATTCGCTGCGTGACTTGAGCTTTAACCAAGGGCATCACCCGTAAACAAGCCTCATAACAACAGGGATGTCGCAGAGGCAGGCGCTGTATTACTTGTCATGAAGATACGCCCAGGATCACGGTATTCTCTGTTCCCTTGCATATTGGCCCTGGGCCCTGAAATCAAAGCTCAGCCTGAAGCCTGGAGGCCGAGCCCAAGCCCGCAGCCAAAAGCCCGACCGTCAACCTCCAAAGCCTCAAAACCCTGTGTAAGCCGTATAGAACCCCATAAAGGACCCCTTCACGAAAGCCTTAAGAAGGCCTCCTTAGGGTTCCCTGAGAAGCTGTTCTTGTGGCTGGGTTCCTGCATTGATACTAATACTACGAATAATACTACTGATATTAATCATGCATATAATATTAATAATACGGATCAGCTTCTCGTTCAGGAGATCCAGGTGGCTTACAGCCGTGCGGTGTCCTTGGCCCAGGATATGGGGTTTGGTTGTGTTTTTTTTGCAGAGTTTAATACGGTTTTCTGAGTATTCGGGATTGGTTAGGGTTCCATATGAAGATCCCTTTCTTCTGAAACTCCCACATTACCCCTGCGCCTGGGAGTTAGTTTAGGATCGTTTAGGGTGGTTTCTGGGCTGCCTTTCGTGCCGAACCTGCAAGATCTCAGAAATCTGGAGACGAGCTGCCCCGGGAGGCCTTTCTGAGGGCTAGTTCGAGGGTCCAGAAACGACTTTGAGTGGACCATGATCCTGCAATCGTCTGCATGATGAGAACAGCTGACATTGTCAGACGGTACTAGAGACGACGACACTTTCAGAAGCCCTGGCTTGCACGAAGAATCGTCAGCCCAAGCTAGTCTCTATGCTAGGTCTTGCTGGTCTTAGTACGAGTCCGATTCTCTCCGCTATCATGTTGACGAAGATTCAAAAAGGGGCCTAAATAATTACCAGAACTATTTTGGGGTTTACTTAGTTTATTTGTAGTATATGTGTACCCCAAAATCCCAGTCTAATTATTGAGACCCCTGTGAAATCCTACCCGCTTTGACTTCAGATCTCCAGGAGACGAAGGCCTCTGAGCTGCTTCCCCGGCTCGAGGAAGCCTACGCCGTGCTCAGCTCCCGGGTGCCCCGGTGCCCGAAGAACGGGAGGGCGTTTGCATCCGGATTTCAGGTTATGGGGGTTCAGGTCTCGGATTCTGGGCTCAGGGTATAGTTTGGGATCTGTCGGGCTGTATGCAAGGCTTAGGTCTGGTGTGTAGGGTTTAGGGAACGAGCTGTCGCACCAGTTGCATGCACCACATCCAGACCCATCCGTCATGCAGCTGTGTCAAAAGCATTCCACATGCCTCTAAATTGGCACCATGGGGCCTCCTTCGAAGTCATGGTTTATCTTTGTGTCCTTCCTTCCTCCTTCCGCTCCCTGCGAGCTTTCTTTTGGAGCTCGAGCATCGTGGCGGCAGGAGTCCCGGGAGCAATACGACCGGCAGCTGCAAGTAGATCAGGCCTGGGATGAGGCCGTGCAGCTGCCAGAGATGCCTGCCACTGGACATGCGCTCAGCGTTTTGAGGAAAACCAGAATACGGAATAGCGCCATATACCAAAGAAACTTGCATGTATACGCGCGCACAAACGTCTGAATTCTCCAGTTCTTCTTACAACTTACCCTGGAAAGATAAACGTTAAGCTGCAACAGTGTCTTGTGGCATGTGATCACGGGGCATGGTTTCATGGTATATGGGCAGCAACTTCTGTATGTATGCTTGCTCATGTATTATCTTTTCAGATGGGCCGATCTCCACTCCCAGCCCCTTTAATCTGTAATATTCTGTAATGCTTCTGAGCCCCTGAAAGCCCTGAACCCGCCCCGAACCCAAAACCCTCGCGGGCGACTGACCCAGGTGCGCGGGCCCCTGGGCAAGGAGTCCAACCACCGGCCGGGCAGGGCCAAGGTCTTCCTCAAGACGTGGCCTTGAGGAAGTAATGTTGAGGTCGGGTGTCTTTGTTTGGGTTTAGGACTTCTGGAGGTTGGCGATGCCATGAAAGGATGTGGAAGGATTTGGTTGGCCTGCAGTTTGGAGTAGACCCAAATCCGCGTGTTTCGGGCATCACGATGCTGAGGTTCAAGGTTTGGCGTCATTTCAGGGCTGTGGCCTTGGAAGATGGTCCGGCAGGTGTCTTATGGAACAGCAGTTCTCAACCTAGGTTCGAAACCTGAACCCACCATCTTCATCGGCAGTTTAAGGTTTAATCCCTGTTTCCACGCCCAGGTTTGGGTGCCAGCACAACCAATCAGACGGGGAGTACATGCTTGGGCAGCTGCATGACTACGGCTATACCCTGGTGGACAAGCTCGAGGACTTCCTGATGCAAATCCTAACACCTAGGATCCCACATGATGGCCGGAGAAGTCTCCCAATAGGCCTTAGGATTCAGGGTTGTAGGGCCAAGGGCAACCCAAGACGACGGCACATCCCAGTGCTCAGGCCAATAACACGGCCTGAAACCCTAAGCACTCAGAGTCCATATGGTCCATCCTAAACTGTGAAAGCCAACTCCAAACCCCAGATCTCTTGAACCCTCGATAACACAGCACCTAGACCTAGAGCTCACTCCTCAAGGAGTCGGACATCTGCGTCGTCAACTCCTGCACTGTGAAGACTCCATCTGAGTCCAGGGGCTTGCACCTGGTCAACCAGGCCAAAGGCTGCTTTCCATGTTCATGCATGGTTATCTGCAGTAGCTAACGTGTTTACAGCTGGGGCAGGGTGAGGTTACTCGAGCAGTGGATGTGCAAAGATACCCCTTGAGCACCACACGCCCACGCCTTCCCAAGCCTAGCACAGGCTGCGTCATGCTACGTCCGAGCCAAGACCAGACCTGCATGCTGGGTTATATCACCATATACAGTCACGAATTATGCGTTTTGGTAGGCTCCTACATACATCATGATTGGATGGACGTATGTAGATGTCTCTGCAAGGCTACGGAGTTGCAGAAGCAGGTCGTGCTCGCTGGCTGCGTTCCATCTGGTGACAAGCGGCTGCCAAAGAAGCTTCCGCATGCCGCCTGGTTTTGTCTTAAGCCTTGGCCTTTCTTCTGCTTCGGATCGCTGAATTAAGGGTTCCGCGATTTTTTTTGCAAGATTCCTAGTCACAGGGCTATTGTAGCAAGAGCAGGTCAGCATGCTGCATGTGACCCAGCTGGATCGTATCGTGGACGTGGTTGAAGAGACAAGCAAGGGCCGAGTGGTGACCCTGCTAGCTGCCTGGCATGTCAGTGCTAGGTTTTGGGTGAGAGCCGAAGGCCTAATTGGGATGGGATCGCTTTTTGCCCTCCCGGCCCTAATGTGCAGCACCACGAGGACAAGAAGAAGGAGGGCCTGCCGTCCCTTGCGCTCCCGAAAGTGCGACAAGATAGGCTGACGGAGATCATCACGATCAATGCTGGGTGCTTGAACTTCTGCACATACTGCGGCTTGGACATGGATGGGGCTGCGTTAATTCGTATTATGAGAAATGGCTCCCAAGCTCCGTGTATATGCAAAAATGAAACTGCAGCTAAAACAGTACCTGTAACAGCTTTTGCTTTAACTAAAAGCCAGAAGTATCTATGCTTTGCTATGTGTATGCTGTGTGCTGTTCGCTTCGCCGAAACGGTGCTTCGAGGCAAAACTCGCATCGCCCGCGGAACTGTGGTGTCCTACTCCGTGGAGGAGATTGTGGAGCGGGCCCTCCAGGCTACCAGGGAGGGGGTCTGCCACATCGAGCTGGCCTCGGAGGACATGGGGGCCTACGGGGTGGACATCGGCAGCAACATTGCCGAGCTGCTCCTGCGCCTTTCGGATGCCTTGCCGGCTGGTGTGATGCTGCGGACAGGCATGACGAACCCTCCCTACATCATGGAGCATCTGGATGGGGTCATAGAGGCGCTAAAGCGGCCGAATGTCTATAGCTTCATGCACATCCCAGTTCAATCTGGTTCGGATGCTGTGCTCAAGGCCATGAAGCGAAAGTACACCGTCAAGGACTTCCTCCACCTCGTGGGTCGCTTGCGGGAGGAGATCCCTGATATTTATCTGCTCACCGACATCATCTGTGGCTTTCCCACAGAGACAGAGAAGGACTGGAAGGACACCCTTGAGTTGGTGCGGGACTGCCGTTTTCATGGAGTCTACTCCTCCCGGTACTTCGCCCGGGCAGGGACGCCGGCTGCAAAGCTGCAACAGCTTCCCCACACTGTGACGAAGAGGCGCTACCAAGAGCTCTGCGCCCTGGATGCTTTGAACGACCGCAATGCCGGGCTGCAGGGGACCACGCAGCGCGTGTGGTTCGCTGGTACTGACGGCCTGCGCAATCAGACCGTTGGCCGCACCAAAAACTTTGCAAAGGTCCTGGTGCCGAGAGACGATTCCCTCCTTGGCCAAAGTGCCATGGTAGAGGTCCTGCAAACATCGGTTCAGCATGTGGAGGGCCGTGTTGTGCAAACTGAGGCTCCCTGACATGGCTGTAGCTGCGAGAAAACGTGCGTCAGCTGGACGTTCGGTTGACCTGAATGGTACAAGCCGCCGCACATCGAAAGGTTGGTGATGTTGGATGACTACTTTCAGACTGAAAATCGACTGGCGATAAGCTGTTGCTTGATCAGGTTGTGGATGCATACCTGCTAACGATAACATTTTACGAAACATGTAGTTCTCATGCAGGCAGCAGGTAGCAGGTAGCAGGAGCTGCAATTGGCGCTTTTGGGAGTCGACGTCTAGTTGGGCGTGCTTTCGGGTCAAGTTCTTGGCTCTTGCAGAGCGTAAGTTGAAACTTGAAGGGCAGGCAGTTATTGTCGGGGATGGGAATACGTTAACCATTGAGCTTGGATTTTGCCCAAAAGCCAAGCCACCCCCAGAACACTCCAAACGCTGCATCGGCTCATGTTCCTGTCGCGCCCCAATCCTTCGCCTCCCACTGCCTAAACCGTAAATCCTAAACCCTAAACCCTAAACCCCTAAACCCCTGAACCCTAACTCCCAACCCCTAAAACCTCCAACCCCCCAAACCCCAAACCCCTGAACTCCTGCACTCTAAACCCTAACGGAAGGCCCCGAGCACCATGCAGCCGGTCTCAGCAAGCTGCCCTCGCTGTCATTGCCCAGCCAGGCATGGCGAATCAGAGGGTAGGGGTCTCATGGGATGGGGCATAGGTTCTTAAGCAAATCTGAAAACCTATGTTTCTTTTATTTACCCGAAGCATCAAGGGCAAAGTTGTTCACGGCGACAGGGTTGGTCTTGCGTTGGGCGGTTTGTGTCTGGGGCTTCAGGTTAAAGATGTCAGGAAATCTGAATTGCATCGGGATCGGTCTAGCTTGAGGTGTTCGGTCACTGCATAGCTGCAAGTTCGTAAGACGATTGGCATGTTGGAGCCTGGAAGGGGTACTTAGCTGCTAGATGCTTTGTGGCCTTGCGATAGTCGGAGCACGGAGACTAAATCCCCAGCGCCAATTAGCGACGTTTGCCTGAGCTTTGGCAGGTCTCCGGAATTCCGACTGCTGCCATGGGCGAGCGCTTCTCCTTCTCGCAGCACAACGTGGCTTGGATCTGCAAAGCTTTGCAAATCTGCATTGAGTCTTGCCAGAAGCAGGAATTAACTGCGCACCAAAAACCGGACCAAAAGCCAAACTGCAGGCGCGTCACGGATCGCATGCCCTGTTGGACCGCAACCAATCTGAGAATCATCACCATCATCCTCATCCTCATTGTTGTCATTATCATTGTTGCAATTGTCATTGTCATTGTCACTGTCATTGCCGCTGTCATGTTCATGGTCATGTTCATGGTCATTTTCATTGTCATGGTCCTCCTCCTCCTCCTCCTCCTCCTCCTCCTCCTCCTCCTGCTCCTCCTCCTCCTCCTCCTGCTCATCATCAAAATCATAATCAGCATAATCATCATCACCGTCATCACCGTCACGTCATCATCATCACCATCATCATCGTCATCATCATCTGTCTGCCACCATCCATCAACCATGACAACCATGATCCATCATCCATCATTGTCATGGTCACCACCACCACCATCATCATCACCATCACCGTCATCATCACCACCATGTTGCATCGCCACCGTTGTGACACTCTTAGTCACTACTGTAGTACACACTCCTCACATTCCTATTTGTTGCCACTGCTGCTCGTCTTAGTCTTTGCACTATCAGGAATATCCTTTGCCAACGAACATCGCTTACAAAGCCGACCGCCATGTGCTTTTTGGGTTTGGGGCTGTCCAGCCAACCTTTGCTGAGAGTTTTGGAGCCAGCGCTTCAATTAGGGTGAAGGGTTTGTGCCAACCAACCTCTCCGTTTCGAGTTGACCGTATCATGGCCATGGCCCTTGCCCAGCTCGTGTACAACAACTTGGGGGGCAGCGGCCCGGGTGATCCCGACGAGCCGCACATCATCCGCTACCACCAGGCGAGGGTCCGTTCCGCAACTTTGAGCCCTGAGCTGGGTCTTCTAGCGTTAACGGGAACAGGGCTTTGTGGGCTTTGGTGTCCAGGATAGTGCAGTTGCACAGGGACCATCACGACAAAAAGCACGTATCGTCCGTATCGTGATTTCTTGTAGAGATAGAGTGCCACGGCCCTGCGTTGGGCTGCTGCGTAGTGGAGTTTCGACCCTCAACGGAGCGCAGGTTTGTACCAAGAGCGGCAAGGCGGTGGACATAGCTCGAAGCTCGGTTTTGGGGTGCGACGGGAGCGGGTACTTGGAATTGAGCCTGTCAATTTGGTATCTCTGGGAGATTCGCAAAACGGCTAGTTGACGCCTTATGGCCAACGTCAACTCGTTCATTCTGTGTCTGCACACTTATATACATATGCATATATGTATGTATGTAGGTAGGAAGGTAGGTAGGTGGGTATAGGTACGTATGTAGCGTTCAATCGCTGGGTGGGTTCATGGTGTGAGCGTGCTGCTTGAAATTTCTCTCCTGGGCTAGGTCAGGCACAGGCGGACCTTGCTGTTCCAGCGAGACCGTTGTCTAGGGCAAAATCATTCCACATTTGTGCCGACATTGATCGACGAAGGTGATCGAAGTAGATCGCGGAACGTACCATCCAGGAGACGGGACGCTCCAAGTCAGCTCCGACATGCATTGGAATTGGAACTCTGTTGCAGTTGCACAGTATGGGTGCGTGGATCAGCTCGTGCACGTAAGTTCGCGCGTTGTCCCCAGATCCGAGGGCCAACGCTCCCCGAGCCGGGCAGGACGTGCCAGGCTCAACGGCCTTGTGGGCAGCGTTCACGACGCAGCTGCGGTGAATGTCCGGCTCCCTGGTTTGGAAGTTTCGTGACCAAGCTCGGAGTTGCATCAGCATGTTAGGATAGGTGTCCGTGCATGTATATGCATAGGCCTCTATGTCTGTATGTGCATCGGCTGCATAGGTGTACATGTATGCGTGTATGAAGGCTCAGCACGACATGCTACCAGCAGGTGCGAGGTATATGAAATATCCAAGCACCTCCAGACTGTGCCACTTTTGCAGGAAGCTTCAAGTGTTTGCTAAAGCCAAGGTGCAATTGCCAGCAACGTCCTTCTAGTAGGCCCTACGTAGCTACAGTGTAACAGTAACATACCCCCAATCCCTAAGCCATAAATCTTAAACCCTGAACCCAAAACCCTATTTTAATTGTGAACACCCCTTTGTTGCTGCCACTTCACTGGGCCATGGCAGGTGGCACTTGGAACCACTGCGTCTCTGAAGATTCGTTTGGTAGACTCTCAGGCCCATTGCTTAAAGGGGCTTGGGGCTGTCGGAGCTCTCCCAAGCACCAGTGCTCTAGACACCTCTGGGTGCTGAGGTTTTGGACTTTGGGATTTGTTGGGGATTGGTTTAGGAAGTGAGTGATTGCTGGGTGTTGATTACAAGCGGGATTCTGTGAGAGCGTTGGTTGAAGCTTTTGTCATCTGTTGTCGCTTTGGGCGCTTGCAGGGGGTGAGCAGTCCGAGGTCTACAGACTGCTACCACGCCCACATTGGACATATATGCTCCTCCACCACAGAGTGCTAAGCTCAGGCTTCAAGACAGCCAGAACAGCTGCACAGGATGCCCCCGTCTCCTTCGACCGACTCTACTTCACCGTTTTCGACGTTCAAGAGGAGCTGAAACCTGTTTTCAAGGTATATGCATGACGTTTGCTGATTTGCCCATGGTTCATATGTCGCAGTCTGGTAGGAGTGATTACACATTCAGACGCATGTGTTCTCATGTTCGGCATATTACTCTGGCCCCAAACCCACCTTCCAGCCCGGTGGCCTAGCTGGTCATCCGACTGGCAATCATGGTGTTGCAGCGCTTACAGCTGGTGGGAGCTTGTCCAAGAAGAGCGCGTGAAGGCACAATCCTAGCCTAGACGTCCGTCAATCCTGGCCCTTGCGGTTGGGAGGGGTAGAGGACCATGTTCTGGCAGGAGGAGGATCACGGACCTTCCATGTCAGCTAGTGATGAGGCTGGGTACTGCTCTGAGTCTCTTCAGGCTTTGTGAAAATCGAGTTAGGCGGCCATGAGAAGTCAGGAGGGGGCTGCGATGCACGGCCCTGCCCACCAGTGCTTTCTGAACCGATGTTCACGATCATAACAGCACGGAAGCCCGAAAGAAGCAGAAGTGACAAGTACTGTCCCGCGTCCCAGCAACAACCCCTTGCGAGGTGGAGATCAGTGGCTTCGAGGCTCCGAGCATCTTACCAGCCGTGCCAGATTTAAATCCAAGCCTCATGTTGACTAGTTCTTCTTTCCTCATTCTGCCTGCTTTGGCCATGTCCTCAAACTTCATGTGCACAAGCCTGAGGCTCTCGACCCATACAAGGATCAGACGACCCAGGGGTATCTCAAGTCCGCACGGGCTGGAGGGTTACAGCGTTGTGCGTTGAGGGCTGACCTTGGCAAAGTTTTCATTCATAAAGACGCCTTCAAGCCTACTGTAGGAGCTTCGCGACACACACTTCAACCGAAAGAGCTCACTAGGCACCCAAGCCCAACATGCCTCGGCACCCTAGGCCCTAAACACAACAGCACCGAAGAGCCCCAACATGCAACCGTATTCGAAATCCTAAGCCGCACCAGCCCAAATCTGTGGTCAGGATGCCCAGTGGCCAAACCAGACCCGGGTACACATCATGCCAGGGTTGAAGCAGGCGCGGCGATTCTTGGAGTAACATGGGGTTTGAACCATCAACAAGAGCGCGCTAAGTAGGGAGACCCTGAGTACAAGGCACCTTTAAAGGATACCTAATGGTAGGAGAACCCGACATATGGGTTTGATAAGAGATTGGGCGGTTCAGCCGGACTTAGAGTTCACTTGTTTTTGCTGGCGGAGCTATGTTCGATTTCAGACCTCGATCGGGCACTCGGTTAAGCATCCTGATAACGGTAAATGTTCTACTGTTTCAAGTGATCCTAGTGTATCTACCAGTTGCTCCTACCGCTCTTCCAGCTTCTACCGTGTGAAAGA